TATTTATGCTGCAAAATAATTTTTTAAAATTTAATGAATACTAATAATTGGGCTTCTGGCCTATATAAGTGCACGAACCCTAACCCGAGCTAGTGGATTCCCTTCGCCTCTCATCTCTTTTACCGTCTCTGGTTAGGAGCCATGACGAGTGGGTGAGGACTTGATGGTGGTGATTTCAGATCAAGACTCTTCTGGTGGTTATGTTGCGGATGGCTGAGGGCTTTTACACCCACGATTACAGGGATTGAAGCAAATGGAACTTGGTCATCAATGCTTTCTTGATTTATTATGCAAGAGCATTTTCCAACAACAAAGTAGGCAATTTTTTTTGTGTTTTTTTTATTTTTTGGGGTTCATGGTTACATGATCTATATCTCACTTGATTGTTGGAAAAATGCTCTTGATAGTAAAAAATCACCAAAATATTGATGACCAAGGTCTTCTATTTACTTGATTCTTGTAATAGCTGTTGTAGAAGCCCTTCAGCCATCCATAAACTTACTCACCATACTTATAGTCCAGCAGACAAAGCATCTCCAAGGTAAGTTTGTAAGTCAATCGTAAGTCAATGGTAAAGGCACTATTTGTTCTTCATAGTCTAACTCCAGATCCACTATGTTTGATACACATATGTTCAGATCTGGTACATCCTAGGTATTCTCAAACTCGATTCTTTGGTTTTTTATCATCAACTCTTTTCAGGATCTTTATTAAGAGACTGCAGGAAGGACACAGATCCAAATCCAACCAAATATTTTGATTGTTGACTGAATTTGTGGGTCTGCTTCCATCTGAGATCTGCTTGTTGTAGAAGTTGAGTTGTTGTTATTATTATTATTATTTTTTATGAACGATTGTTGTTACTTCAGAGATTAATGTTTTAGATTTTTTTTTGTTTTTTTGCCATAACGATGTTTCCATTTAATTTCAAACCGAAAATGTTGATTCTAAAACACACTACTTTAACTACTACAACTGTTAGACTTTAAACAAGATCGTGTAGGATATCTTGTATGTTGATTCTTCTTGTTTCGAGTGGTAAGTTTAAGATAGAGGTTGTTATTTAGGAAGTGTAGAAGTGGTTGTTTGAACCCGTGCTCTCTCTCCCCAACATCCTTCCCTTACACTGTTAACCACTTGTTACATTACACACAAAAGAATGGACTTGCAGGGAACCATATAATGTTACATGGACGGGTCATGCGTTTGCGAAGTTGCAATCTTAGAGATAATGGCAGAAAGCACTCTTTGGCCTCTGTAAGCATCACCTGATGATATCACAGCCGCCGCCCACTATTTTTGATCAAGATCAACAACAAATTATTTTTCTTTTGTCGGACAGACACCAAGTGGCTAAGTAGCCTCTTTTTTTAGTAGGTGTTAAGATGGTAATGATTTGAATTCTATACCTAAGTCTTCTTTAACCTTAAAAATTCTCTTTATTTTAAAAAATAATAATAAATAAATTTGTTATCTCTTAATTTATCTTAATTACATGTTATGGATCTTAAATTTATGACTTTAGTTCTATTAGAAGGTGCTTGCACTATAGATTGCATTTTTAGTGATACCGCTAATGGAAAAGGTGAGATCAAATCTACTGAAGAAATGTATATATGTAAAAATTGGTTGGGAAGATAAAGCTTATTTGATGTTACAGCTTGAATTTAAAAGAAATAGAAATCCTTAGAATTTGAGAGGAAGTTCAATCGAGGAGTTATCTGTGATCTGAACAACAAATAATCAAATGGAGAGGCAATTTGTAGGAAGCGTATAAATAAAAGCATTTTGATTTTTCAACACACATGGTTAGTTTTACACAAAACTTATTAAATTTTCATTTCTCTAGTTTCATAGTAATTGCTCACCTTAACTTTTATATTTCAGTTTTAACGTAGATCCTTGTAGATATAAGTTGTTTTCAACATTTAAGTACCCAAATTAGTTTATGTAATTGCTCCTTTGATTTCCTTTCACACAATAAACATCAAGTTTATTTTAATTTGTATCTCATGTAGTTTATTTTGGATCTATTAACTTAAATTCATGGTGGTAGTAAAGTTTTTGAGATTGTTTAAGGCAGATTAGCAACCCATTATATAAGAAAACATCCCTCCCTCTTCCAAATTGTTTGAAGGGCACAAAACTCAAAATTTAACCAACATTCTTCCGACCATCCTAATGGAGGTCGATCGCGTGGAAGGAAAGGGTCTTTTGAAAAATCCTTCTTTTCTTGCTTTTTAGAAAAGTAAATGGCACGCCTGAATCCAAATTTCACACATGCGAAGCCACTTGGGGATTTTTGAGGAAACAATCCTTTTATGGCATGCCTAGTGGGACCCCACTGTGTCTCACCCACAGTTTCTAGATCCACTTTTTTTGTATCCAAGAAGAGGCACAGTTATGCCACCAAAAAGAAACATGGGGAGGGTTGCCCAGACTTTACAGATTGGGCCCGATGAAGGTAGCCCAGCATATTCAAAAGGAAAGAATGAGCCAGTTATTCCACCACCATTATCACCAATACTTGGGGAG